GTAGGTAGGGCCGGGCAGGTTGTCACAGTCTCCGATCGGGTAGGCGCGTTTTCGCGTGACAACCTGTTTCAGGAAATCTAATTTGAAAGATCGAGGATAAAGTTGGAACGATTGGAGCATGCCACTCGTTTCTGGCTTTGTTCATCGATTTTTCGAATTCCCGCGGTCGCGGTCGCGAGTGATTTCGAAACGAACGTTGCGCTCGAGATTCTGCACGTGTACGAGCACCAATCACTATGATCGTTGGTCGTCCATGTGCGGTTAGCTTTCGTGAATTAGACTTTTTTTTGCGTTTTTTTTGTTTTGATTTCGAGATAGTGGATCTCGGGGCTAAATATAAGTTTCAGCGGGCATCGCGCCCGAAGGAGGAAGACCGAAGAGGCCTCGACAAACTGTCACGAAGAGGGGCTGCAACGAATGATTTCTCATCTTTTGGATCTGTTTTTTGGGTCCAAAGGATGGGAGATCATTATTATTATTTTGTCACTGTGCTCGTTTTAGTATATAGTAGTCTATGTTGTATCGTCTGGCCGATATGCATGCTGGCCCACCGTTCACATCCAGTCATCATGGGCATCGCGATTTTTTATTATTAGTGTTGCGATTAATCAATAACGGATTGAATTAGTGTTGCGCTATAATTTTCGCGTTTCTTTATTAGTGTTGCGAGAAAATATTAACGGTTTGAATTAGCGTTGCGTTAAAATGAGAATCGCGTTTAAATTAGTGTTGCGTTAAAATGAGAATCGCGTTTGCATTAGTGTTGAGTTAAAATGAGAATCGCGTTTGCATTAGTGTTGCGTTAAAACGAGAATCGCGTTTTTCTTTTTTTTATTATCAAGTGTTCTAATTTTTTATGAAGTAATATTAAAATTTACTTTGTTTAATTCTTTTATTCTTGTCATTTAATTTTTTGATTAATTAATTATTAGCTCTTTAGTCATATAAAAATATTTGTTTTAAAAAGTAGTGTTGCGTTGAAAAATAATCGCGTTTGTTACATAGTGTTGCGAATATTGAATGCCCAAACATCTTTCACTGGGATTGTGAAAGTTCCTGAATCATCTAGTGTAGCTAAAAAAGCTACAAGGGTGATTATACGACAGCAGTCATCCAAGAAGGCTGCATTCTTCGTTATTAGTGTTGCGTATTTAAATTTGAGTGCATAAAGTAGTATGCATTAGTGTTGCGTTAAATAATTGTTTCGCGATTGTTTTTCAATTTTTTTTCTTTTTTTTGTCAATATAAATTAATTAATATTGCTAATTAATAAAATGAAGCATTCATCGCGGTTGCTTTTCTATTTTGAAAAAAACATTAATCTGTTAGTGTTGCGATATAAAAAAAATATTCCACTCACGGTTTGTTCGGGTTTATATTGAGTGAAAAATATTTGTATTGTAGTGGCCCTTCTGGCCACTAAATTTATTTCTTTTTCAGCGTCCCTCATTACATTTATTGCATTTGTTCTAGAAAATACTGCTATATATCGTTATCAATATTCATTTTTTATATCAAAATTTTATATATCAAAATTAAAAAAAAATTATATATAATAATTTTTTTCATCACATATTACATATATATATACACACACATACATCATACATACATACATATATATATATATACACAATGTGTATATTAATTATGTATATATGTATATTTTTTTTTCAATTATTAATTATTTTTTTTAAATTACTAATCTAGTAAATAAGTTGCTTGTTTCAGATATATTCATTCACAAGAAATAATATTTGAACGCAAGGAAATAAAAGTGTTGTAGCAATGAGAAAGTAATTTTATATATATACATATAATAGAATTTTACTAATTCTTTGTAGTTTTATTTGTTTCAGGGACTTCGTGGGATCAATCAAAGAAGATTCATGTATTTCATGTAATTTCCTTTTTCCTTTCCTTGATTATATTGAGATTTTTATAGATAGGCATTTTGAACAAATCTTAATAGTATTATCTTTAAGTTTTGATTAGGTAAGATAATAGGGATTCTACTTTGTGGTACAAATACTACAAAGAATTGTATATGAGTTTGAAATTTAACAGTTATCCAATCTTCTTAAGAATCAGGTGGATGTGATTCATCGCATTTTAAAATGCATACAAAGTATGCAAAATTCCCAAAGATTTTTTTCATTCCATATTCTTTTCAATATTTAATTATTTATTAAAGTATCTATATAGGTAGGAGACTCTTCGGTTTTTAATTTAGGTAGGTTAAATTTAAATTGAGTAGGCAGGTTGTTATTCTCTCTTCTTGTTTGGTTAGGCAGGTTATTATTTTTTAAGTTTGATTAAAAGTGATTGATATACGTTTTCAAGAAAATTTTGGATAAGTAAAATGATTTGTAGAAAAACATTGATCGATATCGTTTAAAGTACAATGTATAGTAGTAGTAGATGCATGCATAATGATAGTAATAGTAGTAATAGTGATATCAAATGGTGATGGTTATTAAAATAAGCATAACTCTATGTGAGAAATGTTTTATTTTTTTTTGTTTTATTCTTTGTAATTATCAATATTTTGTATTTTCATGGCAATGAAGATATAAAATATCGATATATGTATATAAAAATTAGAGTGCGTGCGTGTGTGTGTATCTTATATAGAGTTATACTATTAAATTTTTAGGCTTAGTTTTCGCGACGGTTTTTCTTAAAAATTCTTTTGTTATTCGTTTTTGCACAACGTTCGAGATTTTGAACGTTTTGCAAATACATATCGAAAGAAATATTTAAAAATGAATTAATTTTTAAAAGGAGGGTGGATGGGACGTCGTGGTTAGGGTGGGTCTCCAATTCGCAGCAACCTCCACGTTTGGTGAGACCTGGGAAATCATATTTATTTGATATATAATTATTAATCGTATTAC